TGATGTGGCCGGCACCGCTCTTGGCCGTCTTTGTCTCCCCAACGCTGATGCTTGCACTGTGCATCGAGGTTGAGTTATTTTCAGGTTGAGTCTACCTAGGCGGGGCTCAGGGCAGGTTCGGGTAGAACGTGCCAGCGGTGCGCATGGCGAGGAATCGCAATCAAGATCACCAATATCAGTGCAATCCCACGAAAAAGTGTTATGTGTTTGGCCCGTGTGTGGAGGGAAACTGAAGAACACGGATACAACACATGCGCATAAGAGGGCAACGCTCAAAGCTCCACAGGGATACGTTCAATGCACAGGCACCTCCGATTGGCACGGTTTGCTGCGTGCAGCGGGAAAGAAGTTCAGCATCGACACGGTACATACAAAGCAGTCGGTCCCATCAAGGAACACGAGCTCTCGTCGATGAGCAAGAACGATCGCACGAACTCCGGTCATCCTCGCAGTTTTTCGCTGCTGGCCATCGGACAAAGACGGTCACCACACCGCGCACTATCAAATGTGCTTCTGTGGCCGTCTGGAACGCTCTCCCTTCCGATATTGGGAAGCCGCTGAAGCTATGCACTTGTAAATCTACACTGACAACGCATTGCTTTTTGGTGTTTAGTTTGTTGTCCTTCCCCCACACTTTTGATGAGCACACTTGGCTACGTACGGTGCGAAAGAAGTTCAACATGCATACATGCAGTGGACTAAATGTGTCTGTGGACTGCATGCATCACTTTCCCGCTGTCTTCTATCGCAGCCACCGGAGCTCCGATGTCTACAACACGTGGTGTGGCACCGGTGGTCACTCACCCAAGAAATAGTAAACCAGGCTCGACCCTCATTAGCTTTGAGATGCAACGAGATCGGGCACATTCAGAGTTGCTGTATTTGGCCAAAAAGGCAATTATGCGTGTGGGAAGCAGCTGTACATTGAATTTCACACCGTACTACGATCTCGATGAACCGTGTTTGATTCCTAGCCAAGCACAACACGAGTGGCAAGCAGTATTTGAACCTGTCAAGAACTCCAGCTCCCCTCAGTCAACTCAGCATAAAATGCGGGGGCCTGGTACAGTGTGTGCATTTCAGCAATAGGGATGCTGCTGCCGTGGTCGGGAATGTTATGGTCACACTGCCTCTTTGTGTGTGCTGTGCTGGCCTTAATAGGTGCTCGCTAAATATTCCTACGTATTGCCTCACAGTTAGCTACGTACGGTGCGTATAAGTTCAACATTGATACATTTACCTTTCCAAACGTATGTTTGTTGTCTAAAGCGAGTCTCCTCTCATCCTCAGACCTGTGACTCCTATTATACATGGCTCTAATTATTCCACATAATATCCTATTAGACTTAGGTAAAAAATATTATTTCACAGTTTATATTTGCAAATAAAAATCCTATTATCCACAGAAAACAGCGCGTTAAATGCATGCATGCATGTTGAACTTCTTTCGCACCGTACGTAACCAACCATGCTAATCGGAGGTGCGGAGGAACGATAACAAACTGAACACAAAAAAGCAGTTGTCAAGAAATGAGTTGAGGAGCGGACAAGAGGATCTCACAATAGTGGCACTCATATCCGCGTTTCTAATTCACACGCAACATTTGAATTATTAAAGCTCTCTTTCTCTCTCTCTATGTGCCACAGCCTTTCTCAAATACGTTGGCGGTCATGGCTTTTTATTCAGCTCTGTTCTTGATATTGGTCAGTTTTATCCGATTATTCAAATTTCTTATATGTCCTTAATTTATAGTCTTCCCCTGTTTCGTGTACCTCTTCAAGCACGATGCTGTTTCCAGTTTGGGCGTTGCCATTTGGCCAATTGAGAATGCTGGATGGCATCACAGCATCTCCGATTAGCACGGGTGGCCACGGTACGGCGCAAAAGAAGTTGACTCAAACTGTGATACGCTAGGGCCCACGGGGCACATGCAACTGTCTCGAAGCCAAAGTGCATTGTGGGGACACAGCGTGACCACGTTACCTACACGAGCCTTGCGGTGTTGGTGCACGCGCCCGCGATCCAGCATTGTGGAGGTAAGGGTTGGTGGATCACACAAAAAGAAAAAAACGTTGCGGAACTCCCTTCTAGTGGACATTGAGGTGCCACACCCTGGCTTGCCAGCAGAAGACAGTGCGACACAATTTGGACGAAGTATAATCATACGAATAAACCAAAGCTTGTTATTGATGTGCATTCATTAATTTCCCCCCCCCCCCTTTACGCACAAGAAGGGCTCACAAGTGACAACATCACATCTAGCCCTCTATTTAGGAAACAGGAGGATTTCTCCACAAACCTGGCTGTCGCCTGATGAAGCTAGTTGTAGTTACTGGCGAAACGTCGTACTCAGATTGTAAATGTTGTGGATTTGCTCTCCAACACACCGGTGTGCTGTACTGGTAATGAATTGGCCACGTTCTGTTTACGTGACAAACCTCACGAGTTGGCTGTGTCGGGTGGTGGCGGGTTCAACGACACAATTATATTTATTCGATCTAACCCAAAAACCTATAGTATGGATGATATTGGTCGCGAAAGCCTCCTACGTGTCAAACGGGATCTCATATCTTTGGGATAGATTGGTGCCCCGTTGCAAGCGTGCGTGGGTTTTCTCCGGGTGCTCCAGTCTTCCTTCCACGTGAATGCATGTTGACATATCGAGGACCACAGCTGGAGCAATAAATTGTTGGCACTGTTTTCCTCGCACCTCCGAGTCGCCCTCGGTCTTCAAGAGTGAGATAATGCGGTGCACGTTGCAAGTTGAATTTAACGTAAAACGCGCCCTGACTCGATCATTGTGTGCCACGTCCGCGGCACGGGTCGGATTCTGCAGTGGAAAAACAACCTGACGCCTGGTGAGCCGCAGCCCGGCTGGCTCGCCACGGCCACGACATGGCTCGGTTATGGAGTTTAAAAGAGGTGTATGTGTCTCGCACATGGGGGCGCTGTGGCTCATGGGATGGGACACAAGGTGGGTTAAATTAACATTTAAAAAAATCACTCACAAGCTCGATCTCTGTTTGAGGGATGCTGTTTGCAACACAAGTAATGTAAGTTTATTTTAAGTGGTACTGTGTGCAAAACACATAAACATACTAACATTGCTTTTGTATTTACTACCACTGAACAGGGTTGTAAATGTGTGCTACTTTGCCTAATTTGCATTATGTTACAGCTAAACAACGATTCTTCAGCTCGATCTCTTCCGGTTTGTTAAAATAAATATGAGATAATGGCAATGTTTTGAGATCCATTACAGAATGTTGAAGCAAATATGTTTTAACACAACTTATTTTTATCATCTAAAAATTGTAGAATGACCCGTTTGTATTCGGGTTATGGTGAAGAGTTATACAAACGGGCCATTATACATGTGCGGCTGTAAGCACAACCCCTGTCCCATCTGTGGTATGGCACATGGTTTCAAAATATATATGGGTGATCCATTTACAGATAGTGAGAAATTATGAAGAAAACAACAGTATATTTCAATTTCTACATGCCTCGCATCACCAATCTTAGCATGCGTAGTAGATCATTTTACACTGCCCTCTGCAAGATTCGGAGCTGTCTCATATCACAATATTCAATCGGCTGTTGTGAAGAAAGTAAGGGGCTGTCCATAAATTACGTCACGCGATTTTGGACGATTTTTACCCCCCCCCCCTCGTCACACGGCGTCACAAAAAGTCAGACCCCCCCCTCAAATATGACGTCATAAAGCTCTGCCCCCCCCAAAAAAAAACATGCTTCAAATCGCTTTAAACTACAGTATTGTCATTGTAGTGCGTATTTAATGTGGCGCTGCACTCTGATGTTGTAGGATAAAACATTTATTAAAAAAGTCAAGATAATCAAGTAGAACGTGTTGTCTATATGTATTTAAAGTTGCGCATTTTGATGTGACGTCACATTTCTCACCCACCCCCCCTGGTCACACATCGTCACAAATGTCTGACCCCCCCCCGCGCCCCCTAGGTGCGTGACGTCATTCATGGACGGCCCCTAGGAGGGGAATTTAGCCCAGCAGTGTGAAGGCGACGGTAGGCGGATCGCACAAACGCTGTGAAACTCCCTCCCCACAAGCGTCGAGGCTGCTATACCCTGACAAGTCAGGAGACGGCGGTACAGCAAATGTTGACTCCACCTGTGTGGCATAAAGTGTTGCCCCACTAACTCACGCGCATGGGTTTTCTCTGGGTTCTTCGGTTTCCTCCCATATGTAAACACTCATTTTTATATATATAGAGAGAGAGGACAGCAGAGCTTGGGCGATTGTGTGGTAGCGTCGGCTCACTGCCTGGCTGCTGCCTTGTCCCGCTCGCTCGTCTGTGGTTCAGAATCAGAATAATTTGTATTTAGGCTGGAGGAATTCGATGAGCTATGAGGCTCTTTTTCAAAGATGTCCATGCCTCTGATTCTTTCTCTCTTACTCTCTCTGCAAGCGCCTGGGAACATTGCGCGTCACATTACATGGTGAAATTATTAGAAATTCAGTGGCGTAGTTATAAATGGATCACCCTGTATATTACACATACTGGTATCCGTGCGTGTTTGTGCTGGGCTCAACGGTTGGATTTATTCCAACGCTCTTAAGTGTATCTGCTCTGTGAGTTATTCGATGCCAGTTACACTGAATCAAATCCTCTGGATTAAGTAAACAAAAAACTTTTATTGAGTGAAAATGTGAAACTAAAACTTCGGGGAAAATCCCTATGCATCTTCAAAACATCTTTCAAAGTGACAATTGATCACCAAAACCACCCAGACCAGCAAAACCCTGTGTGAAACTCACTTAACAGATTGGTACAAAAATCCTGAAAGTCAAAAAGCCCATCCAAAATCTCAAGTTCCCCGAATGAAGTTTCTAGATTCACAGGCTAGCCTCTGATCTGGCAACAACTGGCGAGACCACGCGATTTAAAAAAAAAGCCTATACACGCTCTCTCCCTCCGAAAGCTCAACTCTGCCACCACCCCATCCACGCACGACTACAGCATAAAACCCAGCCCCTGCGAGCCTTCTCCTCTGAGTGAAGCGCCACCTTCCTGCAGTCTTCACCCAGCCCCGACAGCCCAAACAAACCCAGGCGCCTCCTCTCTCTCTCTCTCTGCTGCTGCTGCTGCGGCTGCTCAGCACCCCGGTCAAAAGGAGAAATATTCCATTGCCTGGGACCACCGCTGCTCAAGCTGCTAAGCAAGGCGGCCGCACACAATGAGTCGCACTGTGGCTCAAACCCATGCCTCGAAGACTTAAGCTGCCGATCAGGGCAAAACAGCGACTTGTATTTATTATTTTCATTATTATCATATCTTAAAAGTGTGGCGTTATTTTAGGGTTTTTTTTTTCCTTTGGAAGTGTTGGATATCTCTCGAGCGTTAGGTTTAACATTAATAAGTTATCCCAACTGAGCCGTTAACTTTTATGGAAGTACAAATCAGTAGCTTATACACTAGTCACTCTGGCATTTGAAACCTTCACAGATATCGCCGTACATATACTGTAGCACATTATAGACCTAACAATTTGTGAAACTTTACGGCTGATCCACTAAGTTATTTCAAATACTTTTTTTCTGGCATGACATAGCACCGCAGCCAGCCAGTGGTAATTACCTCTACTGTGATAAAGCCTGACGTATAATTGCAGCAATATATTTAGCAGGGTTAGCGAGTCGCCTTTCCAGCCCAGTTGTGTAGGGGCCCACTGCATTTTCTGCTGCCTCTATATGATACAACAAACACTCCACGGAATTTAAATAGAACAGCAGCATCAACCGCCACGCGAATATAACAAACCGGACCACCGTTTTCGAGGAGACCATGCATTGTCGCAGCCTCCTCTGCATTGTCCTCATGGATTACGTGCTGCGTTGCCTGTGCCTCTCCTACTGCTCCTCGATGGACATGGACCTGCTCAAGCGCAAGAGGATCGAGGCCATCCGTGGCCAAATCCTGAGCAAGCTCAAGATGACGAGTCCTCCGGACCTGCCGGGCTCGGAGGAGCCGGCCAGCCCCGAGGTGCTGGCGCTCTTCAACAGCACCCGAGACCTCCTGGTGGAGCAGGCGAATGCCCGGGCAGCCACGTGCGAGCGGGAGCGCAGCGAGGAGGAGTACTACGCCAAGGAGGTCCACATGATAAGTTTGCGTCCCGACAGTGAGTAACACACCCAATGGGGTTCCCATTCATTCGTCTCGGCGCCGCGACAGGGTGGCGACGCGTGCGTGAGAGATGATGATGGGCTCTCGCGGGCTCTTCTCGGGTGCGTGATAGACGCCAAAGTCAAAGAGTGGCAGTGTCTCTGTCCCTGCTCGTACGAGCACTGAGCCAACACCGTCGCGGAAACTTTCCCATGGCAGCAGGGGCGAGCCTCTCCATGCCATGGCCGCTCTTGGCTTCCTACAATTTATGGCGTTTAGGTTTTTTTTTTTATCAACACCGCGGGAACTTTTTGCTGAGTTGACTCCAGACTGAGGTTTGATTTTGTAACGTTCTGACTGTGAGTCATGGCGTTCATTCGGTAGAGTCTGTGCTAATTGTGGCATAAAGCCCTCATTTAGATCAGTCTAGATCAGTAGCAGCACTGTGGTTATAGCTCTGTGCTTACAGAAGCTTACAAGTTCAAATCGTTGGCGGGGGTTGACGCAGTCCATCATTCTTAAAGAATCTGATACAATTATTAATATTTTGTACAGCTTGGGTTCTCAAGATAAAAAAATCTTGAATTTAGACCATCTACCTAGCCGGCTGTTAATGGAAATGAGGACAAATCCACCCTTATTAGGAGCTGGGAAAGACTTTGATATTAAACCAACAAGATGATTATTTAACCTTCAATGCCTTTGGCAATTAAGGATTCCCTGAGTTTCGCTGTGTTTCTGTGTGTCTGTGTGTGGGGAGCACTTGCCCCAACATCCAGCTGAAGGCTGTATGGGGGATCTTTGTATTTGTTTGGGGAGCGATGGTGTAGCGGTGAGTGTACTGTCATCCCAGTGATCTGCGTTGAGTTCCTGGCTATTCGCAGCATCAGCAGTATGTAGTCATTGTATACGGACCTATCTTTGGACTCCTGTGGATTAACTCAGCCTTAAATGACCACTTGTGCTGGGTGTGAAAATCAACACTCGGGAGACAGAGACGGCTATGTTTGTGTGATGACTCCCCTTGTACCTCTAATGCACCATATTCATCTTTAATTGACATATAGAGTGCTCACAGAACTTCCTTCTGATACAAATGACTGCAGTGACGTTAAGATGGACTGTAACGCCATAATATCCCCGCTGGAATAAACACAATAACTGAGTAATGTGTACGTACGCGATGTGGGAAAATAGCCACAGGCGTCATTCGTCTCGTGCATGACAGATTGATAGGTGGTCATGTAGCAGGCAGCAGATGGCAGTGTAGCAACATCTATTGTACAGTACTTCTGTGTGCTCCTCAAATCTGTTCCACGCCTTCAAACCCCCCCCCCCCACCCCCCTCACTGACCAGTGTGGTGAAGTATGGTCAAGTAACCCACATAGAGTCTGCACTGTTTTGAGGGGAGTCCATCATCCAGCAGTGGATTTACATCTACGCTGGACGTGTGATGCACATGCCACGGTACACAAAGTGAGTTTTCAGACTCTTTAAAATCAACTCGATAAGCCGCACAACTTTGATAATCTCCCGCAGAAATGTCTGTCCACAATGTGGACTCGAACTGGTGTTAACTGTAGTTAACGGCGCCAAATGGTAACAAAAACAAAACACACTGACCACTAATCTACTGCAGCACTTAGCCCTCCTCTATTGTTACAAGGGGATGAATATCCCTTACTCCGTACATCACTTCATATTCACCTCTCCTAAAGCCATAATATTTTTTTTTAAGACGGGTATGTAAATTCCCACCCACTCTATACACCAGGATCGGGGTACAGCATATACAGTGGTTTATATTCGGAATATGGGACAACTACAGCAGCCTTCGCCTGTTGAAACTGGACATGTCATTCGTTTAAACCCGGGGCCGACTTTGACCGGCGATCATTTGACACGTAACAAAAAATATCGTTAAAATGGTTCGTTGGTTTGAAAAGTAAAAAAAAACCCCATCTGGTGCAGGGCTAAAAACAATATTTGTTTAAAGCGACTTCAATTCTCGCAGCGCATATGTGACTGCGTAATTTGAATTGTGGTCAATATAGTGCAGCGTTTCTGTGCACGTCTGTGTTTCTGCGTAAACAAAACAAAAAACATGCACAGCGATATATATTTGTACATTGTTTAATATCAATTTAATATATACTGTATAAGTATACATACGGCCGAGTATTGTATTCCATTGGAATGCTGCCTTGGTGCAATGGGTTAGCACACTGGACTTGCAATCCAAGATAGTTGGACGTTCGATCTCTCGACACGGGACGTTTCTTAAACTCCCCCGTGCCTGTCCATCCAGCGATACAAATGGGTACACGACAGATTGCGTGTGGAGTAAAGCGTAAATACTCCCACCCTTTCCAAGATGTATTGCCAGTAGGGAGGGGTAGGTCAACAGTACTCTCGAGAGGGCTCTGTAGATCGCCCTCTAGTGGACGCCCTTCTACAAGCAATGGCGCGAACAAGAAATTGCAGGGCTGCATCTCTGCATATGTTTGTGTGTCTGTGTATCCATTCTTACACGCGCCCTCTTGTGGCGACAAGAGTTACACAGGTAGCTTTTAAATGCCGTGGTATCGATTCCACACCACGGTTTACAAACCATGGTATCGGGGTTACACTACTGCATTAGCATGAGAGTCGTTGTGTTCGCTTGAGTCACACAATGAATAATGATAAAACTACGTTTTTTGCTAAAATGTAATTACCAAAGTAAAACGCGTTTTCAAGTGAAACAAAATATGTCTAATGTGCAAAAAAAAAAACCCATTTATCTCACATTCTGAAATGAGCAATTGGAATGGAATTCCACATTTCATTGCAAGGCCAAGTACGTTCATAGAACGACCACTGCCGACTTTGCACAACGTGGTTGGTGCTCACTTTATAGACACCTATCAGTGATGGGTGTAGTCAAATCCCACTGGCATTGTGAATGGAGGGCTTTAGCTCGCGTTCCAGTTAACTGGATGATTATCACCTGTTTTCTTATTCATTACGAAGCAGAGAAGTATATTTCCAGAGGTTGGGCCTTTCATTTTCGTGTCTAGGGGGAGGGGGGGGGATTGTGGGTGAGTGATTAGGTAAGAAAGCGTTCTGCCAAGATAGGCAAAGTAGGGCAAAGAGGCATAGTGAAGAGGTAATGTGTAAAGCCGATACTCTAACTGGTTTACTTCATAGTACATATTGCCTGTAAATGTTGTAATTAAGTATCAGCCAACATTAATTTGCTCTTGCAAATAATGCCACTGCAACTATAACATCACTGTTGAATGTATATGACTTGCTTTTGAAATGTGATACAGGAACTACAGTATTAGAGAGAGGCTTTGGAAATTGGTTCTATCCAGCCCATGCAAGCTTAACCCGACTGGCAGATGTACTAACAATTAGGCTAGCCACGTAGTGATTTTATCGCAGTTAGAGTGTATTCATGTGGACATATGCCATATATTGCAGGCATCATATATATGTTCATATATATGTACCTTGTATAAGACTTCAAAGTGGAAAGTTGATTCAATTATTGTCTTTAAAAAAAATTCCAACATGATTTATTACTGAAACATTGCAGACATTCATATCTGTGACATCTATTCGGGTCCTTTTGATGTATTCAGGAAGACATTCATGCGCGGCTTGCAAAGGCGCGTCCTGCAATTTGCTGACAAAACCACCAAAGTTAACATTTCAACCGCTAGTAAAGAGGGTCACCGGAAAGCATTCTCTCGGCAGAGAAGGAACATTCCATCATGCACGCACAAAAATAAAAAAAAAATTCCCCTTCTATGTTCTGTTAAGGCCAGCGCCGTTAACAAGTGCCGATTAACGCTGGCACGGCACATGCTGGAGGGGGTGGGGAGCGGTGTGGGTAAGGGCACTTACTCTGCCTGGCCACATTTGTCTCCCTCCATTTGCCGATGATGCCTGCCCCGAAACTAGGTGGTAATTTTAAGCAGTCAAGCTATGGAGCGGTACGGCCAACGATCAGACACTATTTCCCACCAGTGTTGTGCGCAGCCAAGAATCAAACGGTGGTTCCTGGGATTGTAATGCGGTGTTCTAACCGCGAAGGAAATTCTCTCCGCATGTGATTTCTTTTCTCTCGTATTTTTTTCCCCGAGCATCTCAATTGCAACTGGGATACACAGGCCATCTACATGCAGCCAGTTCTCACTATGCTGTACAAAACAGTGGAGCATGTGGGTCACGGAGTAAAAATAGGAGCTTTTAAAATATATATTTAAATTTAAAATCGGCACTCGTAAGCAACACTAAATTGAAGGACTTGAGCTTGGATTCTAGAATGAAGCATGAGGTCGTGCAGTTTTTTTTTGTAATGATAAATTATTTTTTAAAAAAGTCTAATGGACTAGACACGAATGAACTTTCGCTAATGTTAGCCGTGACAGCGGCTGACAGGCACTATGCCACCCAACGTGACCGTCTTGATGATGAATTTGCAATCCAGAGGTTGCCGCTTGAACCGATGTCCCAGTGCAGCAACGGACACGTTTATTGAATGGACACCACACGCGACCTGCCTTTCTATTTACCAAGCTCACCACCACCACCGCCACCTCTGTCCACCCAGCAGGAATAGAAAGGCAGGTGGCGTGTGGTGGGGTAAAGTGTGGGCACCTCCACCTCTTGCAAGACACTTTGTCAGCGTGAAGGAGTAGGCCAAAATACCTTCTCCTGGAGGGGCACTCGACACCTCCACTTAGCGGAGGCCTCTCCGCCAGCAGAGTGCGCGTGAGTGAGAAATTGCATCGCTGCACCTTTACCGTGTATCTATTGCTCTGCTCTATGCCCAGGCTGCTGATTGCGTAACTTTATTTTTATTTGCGTGTTTATTTTCATATATATAAAAAAAAATCTCTGCGTGTCAAATGTTCAAGAACAAAAAAAAACACTGGGGAGTTACAATGGATACTGGTTGAGCCACTCAACGACAGGATTAATAATGTGGAGCAGGTTATGTAATGCGTGTGGGAATACACTGT